TGCCGCCATGGGGGGGGGAAGATTGTCAGTTTAAGTTGGGGGGAATAAGGTATGGGGCGGGGGGGAAAGGTTTGGGGTGCCTTTGTTTCCGGGGGGAAATGACTGGGGTTTGGCGGGGGTGATGAGGGATGTATTTTTTTGTATGGGGGGGGATTGGGAGGGACCAGTTCCTTTTTTTTTTTTTGAGGTGCAAGGATGGCGTTGAAACCGTTGGTATGTATGTTGGACTTTCACCCATGCGCGGTATGTATCATGTCTCTTTTGTGAATGTCTGTTAGGAGGTGGCACGATGACAACGAGATTCACAAGACGACACTAAACAAGCTCTAACAATATCTCTTGCAGTGGCCCCGAAATCGAAGCCTGGCTCGGCTGTCCACCCGGCCACGACCCAGCTGTCGAAAACGACTGGTCGCTGCTCCCCTTCATGGCCCTTTCCGACGGCGCACACGCCTCGATCGAAGACTACTCATACTTTACCTTGCGGCGGTCGCAGACGGCGGAACATGGCGCAACCAGTCTGTTTGGCATCAGCTGTACACGGCAGTTGGATGCGCGGGAGTTGATTGACAGGCCGGCCGAGGTGACGCGGAGTACGGTGCAGAAGGCGGTTGTGGTGATTAGTGATAAGCCCGAGTTCTTTGGCGCCATCAAGGCGGGGTTGGGCAGTGTGGTGGAGAGGTGGTTTGCGCAGAGGTATGTTTGGTTCTTTGTGGAGACCACGGGTGTCCCTGTTACAATAGGAGGCATGCGGTGGATATGTCACGAGAGTTGGGAGGGGCACTTGATAGGAGAAAGCAGGAAGAAGAAGAAGAAGAAGAAGAAGAAGAAGACGCTAATACACAATATAGGGACTTTACCGATATTGAAATTCTGCAACGATTTCAGGAGAGTCTGCCACAGTTACTCAGGAATCAAGAGGGCCAGGCGGAGAGCTACTTTGGCATCTCACTCAGGGAATTTATACATGAGTTCAAGTGGCAGACTCTTGTTTTGTTCAAGTGTGCTTTACTTCAACCAAAGGTCTGTCCCCCCACACTGACAAGACTCTAGGGGAGGCGTAGTGAGACTTGCCTGTGCTGACCATGTCCAGGTTCTCTTCTTCGGCTCCCATTGCGAACGATTATGCATGATGCAATTTGCTCTAATTTCTCTGATACCCGGCCTTATTCGCCACCTCCAAGATGCTGCTGATCCCAAATTCAATTCATGCGAGGAGAAACTCGTCATGCCCACTTCGCTCAAGACGTCGGAGCGTGCTTCCCGTACTGCCTCCTTTTGCCTTGTGATGAAATGAATGACTGACATGTGGCAACAGTCCTCGCCTACATGGGCCTCCCCCTCCAACTCTTCGGCAAAGGATCCCTATTTGGGCCCTATACGCCGCTCCAACAACTCGACATACTCGCCGACCAAGACACCAAATCGTACATTGTCGGCTCAACCAACTCCCTTTTACTCCAGCAACGCGACCGCTACAGCGACATCCTCATCAACCTCGACGATCACACCGTACTCACTACCTCCGCCGCACTCAAACAAGCTTCTGTCCTCTCCACCCCAGACCGTCGCTGGATCGACTTCCTCACTCAAACCGTAAACGAGACCTGGGACGAGTCAGACCCCGCGCGGCCCAAAGATCACGGGTACACAGGTAGTGAGGAGTTTATACGCATGCAATTCGAAGAGTACCTACTCGCCATGCTAAGTTCGGTAAAGTACAAGTTGTACGTGGAGAGGAGTGGGCGCAAAGAAAGCATCATCACCGACGTCGAGGGCGATCCGGCAAGCGAGTTTGGAAACGATTGGGTACATGCGTGGATGCAGACGGAAAACTTCCGCATCTGGAATAAATTCACAGACTCCCATCTCTTCGACATTGTGGATCCTAAGCACCCTTGCTCCGGTGGTTTAAGCATCGAAGATGTCCAACGCCGTCTTGCACAGTAAGTCTCTCCCAATCCCAACTACCCATCCCTCACACCCCCTCCCCCCCTCCAGTCTTTCCCACAGACCCACCCCATCCACATCAACATCACCGCTGCTGATGCTGATGCGCGTGGCCCCCACCTTTTAAAAAGTCTCCTACACACCCACACCTCTCCCACCACCGTCAAATACACAAGCATGGCACTCAGCATCCTCGTCCTCCTCCTCGCTCACCGTTTCTCCCTCCAGACAAGTGGCGGAAATGCATCTTGACGAGCGGCTGGACAAGTCTCGCGAACTCATTGGTAAGCAGCTTGCTGCTGGCCAGCAAAAGGTTAGTAGCGCGTATAACAAACTTTGGGCGGAAATGGAGGCTATGCGTGAGGCGCAGCGGAAGAGACAGGAGGAGGCGCGCGCGGCTGCTGCTGCTGCGGCGGCGGCGGGGGATAAGGAGGGCGGTGGTGGTGGGGCGCAGAAATGTAAGTTTGCATTGTTCTTGGTTCTTCTTTACATTGCGCTATCAAATCTCCTTTTTCCATTTATATATTCCCATTTCCTGTCGAGATTACCCCCTCCCCCTCACCCCCCTTCCCCCTACACCACCTCCCTTATCCACACACTCCCACTCAAACTCCCACTCCCAATCCACCCCACCCCAATCCTCATCCTCATCCTCACACACACACCCAACCCTCTCCGCAGCATCCACCCGTGCAGGCGCGTACTTTTCTTCCTGGGGCACTTGGGCTAGCGAGAAGCGCAGGGGCTGGGCTAGTCCGAAGATGCCTGTGCATGCTGGTGCGGGTGCGGGTTCGCCGGTGGGGGTGGGGGCCAAGGAGGGAGGCGAGGCCAAGGAGATGAAACAATGGGAAATGGAGAGTGAGAGCGAGAGCGAGCGCGAGAGCGAGACGCAAGGCAAGCAGCCGGAGCTACAGGGAGAAGAAGAGAGGGAGCAGGAGCCGGCGACGGAACAGGACAAGCATGACGGTGCGGCCGTGTACACGTCGATTGGCATGGACGATGATGATGCGGGATGGGGTCATGGCGGGACGGCGGCGAGTGTGGTGTGGGATGCTGAGAAGGAGGGGAGGACGGGTTGGGGTGGGTGAGGTGTTGTATTCTTGTATTTGAGATTGTGCATCCGTACGTGTCGTCTGGGGTGTGGCCATGTATTCATGTATTCATGTATTCATGTATTCATGTATTCATGTATTCATGTATTCATGTATTCATGTATTCATGTATCCTCGTATCCACGTATCCACACATCAAGTCTTGACATTTTAATTCTTCAACTCGACTTTAATTGCCTTCATCACCACATCATCATCATCACACATGCACACACACCAAAAACCTCTCCTATCTCCTATTCATTCCCTGATGCCCAGAGTCCACAATATCTCATGCATAATACCCATGGCCCCCAGGCGCACAGACAAAACACCTGCACGCCCACACGCCCCACGCCGAGAAGCCTGCTATGTGGTGAAAAAGCCCAGGGACAAGGGGTAAAGGGACGAGGAGAAAAAAAAAAAAAAGAGGAACCCCCCACGGGTCCAAAAGACTGACGGACGGACAGGCGAGACCGAGACACAAAAGACCATGCGCGCAGACGTCCCGGGACGCAAGACGACTCACACAGGCACTCAAGCCAGGTAGCCAATCTCGTCGCCCTCGAGACGCTCGAGGTATTCCTTTTCGAGCAAAATGTCGATGCACTTTTTGATATCGGGAATGCGGGGCATGAAGCGATTCTTGATTTGTTGAATCGTTTCCGACACGAGCTGTTGGTGCTTCATCTTCTTGCGAGACTTCATGATGCGCACAATGGCCGACTGTTGTTTTGCGTGGTGGGTCAGTGTACATGCGCAAAGAGGGGGAGGGGCAGAGAAGAAAGAGAAAAGGAGAGTAAAAAGGGGTGAGGAAAGGGGGGAGAAGATGCTTACCTGCATGAGTAGCTTTCGGTCCTCCTCAATAGTCTTGTGCGTATCCTCTGCCTCTGCCTTTTGCTCAGACTTGATGCCAATGTTCAGATTCATCTTGACCTTCTTCGTCTTGAAGCCCGTGTTGAGCTTGTAGGTGGTGCCAGACTCGGGCTTGGCGCCTTCTGGCTGTGCAAGCAGGACCTTGGCCTTGATGAAGACGCCGAGCGAGGGATCAAGAGTCTCCTTGTTCAAGCCGGTAGTCTCGGCAATCTCGTCATACGTGACCGTCTCGCTGTCGTTGAACAGTAGCATAATGGCCATCTGGTAGGTGGACACTTGAAACGTAGGCGACGTCTTCACACCAGAGACCTTGCAATAGTTGGCGCGAACTTCACCCTTGCACAATTGCCATAGCCAAGTCAGCTTTCGGCCCTGGTGCTTGTGGTTGTAGAAGCGGGCAAAACGGTCGTAAGTCTGGACAATCAGTTGTGGGGGGGTAAACGGCGTGGTAGGTGGGTTCAAGGGCCAGAAGCCGGTGCCCAAGATGTGGTAGGACGCGTCTACGGCCGTCTTGCGATCTTCCTCGTCAAGATTGGCCTGCATCCACTCCTTGTACGCGGCGTTGAGGTCCTTGGAAATCTGCATGTCTTGGAACATGCGCTGAAGCTTGTTGGTGTATTCAAACCCACATGCCTCCTTGAGCTTGCTGATCATGCTGGTTTCCGCATCGTCAGAGGCCGAAGTGGTCTGCACTAGACGCTTCGCCAACATGCGAGAATAGAACTTCTGGAAGACGTCCTTGTCTTCAATGTACTTGAAGACCGTCATAATCTGTGCCAACAACTTCTCCATGTCGTCCTCTTCACTCATCTTGGCACTAGAGCGCTTCAGAAGCGTGTCGGTGTATTTGGCGAGCAGCTCAGGCGACTTGTTGGAGCCTGACTTGCAGACCTTGTTTCGATTGACAAACTCGCGGCAGGCATTGTCGAGAGAGCGGACAAACTCGGATTCTCCGTTGAATGCCTTGTTGACCAAATCCTGATATTGCGTGTGGACCTCGAGCAGCGCTGTGACGTAGACCTTTGGCTCCAGCTCTCCACCGTCCTGCGCAATCTTGTCGACTGCGCTCAAGCCTGCCTTGCGCACATGAGTCTCGAACCGCTGCCGCAGAGGGTCGAGGCCTTCTGGGATACGGGCGAGCAGCTTGTACATCCGGCCAAGGTCCTCCTGTTTGTCTTGATCGAGCAGAATCTGGAACTCTTCCCGAAGAGCCTGTGAATGGTTCGTAATCAGAGACTGTTCGCATGTTCGCATCAAGGGAGACATGATTTCGTTGAGCAGGTATAGTGGGACACGCTCCTTTTCTTCCTCGAGACGAGCCTCGGCCTTCTTCATGTACTCCACCACGCTGTTCTCCGCCAGAAACTGCTTCGACTCGTTGTCATAGTATTCCGCAGTGGCCGCGAGGAATGGCTTCTCAAAGTGTTCCTTGTAGACGTCCAGCGTCGATTTGGAGCTGTCGGCTTCATCAAGACCCAACGACACAAACGAGTCCACGACGGACTTGATGTGCGACTGCTCAATCGTCTCGCCGTTGCGCTGTTTCTCAACCAGCTTCAAGACCGACCGCATGACGCTCTCCTGTGTGCCGGTGAACATGTCCTCCTTCCATCGAACGAGATGCAGTGTGTATATGTCGTAAATGTGCTTCTTTCCCTCATCCATCTCGCGCTTTACCCAATGACGATTTAGGTACCGGAACAAGTGATTGTTGTATTGGCCCGCCGTCGTGTATCGGTTCCACTCCTTGATGTAGAAGGTGAGGAGCGCCTCGTCGACATGCTGCTTCGACTCGGCCTGGACACCTGCCAGATGCGCCTTGAGGTATTCGATGAGGTGTTGATAGAGATCCTCACCCAGAAGATGGGCTCCACCCCGGTTGTTGGCATTCTGAAAAGACGTGCCTGCGACTGCTTTCTGGGCGGTGCAGAAGTTGTGAATGGCCGTGTACAGGCCCATGTACGTCTTCATGTCCATACCGCCGCGGAGGTTCGTCATGATTTTGTCCACGCCAGCTTCGAGATATTTCCACCTAGATGGCTGTTAGCACACATTAGCAACCCAATGAAAATCTGTTGTCCGTCTACGTGTAGCCCGAGCGTATTCCAGATCGGGCGTATAGTCTTCCCAGCACGATGGGGTGTGGCCACCCGTAGACGAGTGGCATGGTTGCAGGGAAAATGCTATTGTCACAGCCCCAAGTGTTGGGGGAGTGTCTGTTTCCAGAGTCCAGAGTATTGGGAGAGTACATGTGTATGTTTCGGGAGCACAGCACTTGCAAAGAGAATCAAGAATCACCATGCAGTCGTCGTAGTGACGGTAGCGGGACCGGGAGCGACGAGCCTGACAAAACAGAGGATATTGAAACGGCAACAACACTTACGTGGCTTGAACATCGTCCTTTGCAGGGACGGGGGGCATGACAGAGGTCATGGTGGGCTGCTCTGTCGCGTGCTCTGGGGCACTCTCTTCTGAGACGAGGCCTTGCGCAACAGCTTTTGTACCGGTGAAGAGGCACCTCGGCAGATTGTGGAGTGAGTGCCACTGTAGTAATCTTTGTCTCCTCTGCGCTGTTCGCAAGTGAACATGTCTACCC